GTCAACAGCCCCCAGGTCTGGAGGGGGCTGATGAGGAAGAGGAGGAAGAGCCGAGCCCAGTGCCTGACACGCAGATGCGCAGAAGGCAGAGGAGAGGAGAGCCGTGGAAATCTATGGGCCGGTCCTCAGGACAGAAGAGCTACCGCTGCTAATGAAGCCCCACTCTGGCTCTGGGGATAAAAGGCGGGTGGGGGGCGGAGATGACGGACTTGTTAGCCTGCAGTGGGAGAGAAACTTTTTGCCGGAGCTGCTGAAAGGCATCTTTTGGGTTTTTGGAGGGTTTTTGGTGTTTGGGGAGCTGAGTCAGAGCACATTTCTTCGGAGCTTCCCTCCTGTCCCCCGTGTCCTTGATTTGGGCTCAATCCTTCGCCACCCGGGGGGGAACCCGGCCTCTCCCATCTCCTCACGTTCTCCGTTACTCTCGTTGTCGTTCTAGATGCCTGCGGAAGAGACGCTCTTGCGCGATGGATCTCACCTTGGACCTGGCCCCTCGGACGCTGCCCTGGCATTGACCACCGACCTCTGGATGGCGGTGGTGAGCTCCGCGGCCACCAGTACTGTCCTCCTGATGGCCATGTGAACCAGCCTGACGCCTTGCTCGAGACCGCCCAGCGACCGAGGAGGGGGGCTGCTCGGTCGTCGGTTTTCCAGCTTGGGGAACTCAGGAGGGTGGTCCCGCCCAAAACCACCGTCCCCCTCCTCGACTTTGTAGTAAGAGAAGAGGACAAACCAACCAACCAACAACTCATCCCACGAGCTTGTCTGTGAACGTCTCTCTGGAGAGCAAGGGTGTTGATCCGGGGACATAGTCAACTATGAATGTCTTCAAGAAATCCTGTGTACTTCATCGTCGATGTGAAGTCACGGACCGAAACCAATTCACACAAGCGTCTTTTTTTCTTCATCTTTGACCAGTGAGTCAAAGCTGACTACTACTACTACTACTACTACTACTACTTCTTCTTCTTCTTCTTCTTCTTCTTCTTCTTCTTCTTCTTCTTCTTCT